TATATATTCTGGAGCTATTTTGCCTAAATTTGGACACTCTTAGGATTAGGTTCAACTATAAGTGACAGGAGACTCAAAATAGCAATGAATAAATTAACAGAAGTTTCTTTTTCTCTTCTGTAAAAATCTGGAAGTGAGTGGTCCAAGATATCCAAGTACTTTCTCTTTTGTTGATCTAATATGTGTGCCCAGCATTCACCACATGGCCCAAAATAAGTGCTTCGGCTCCAACTATCATGTCTGTATTCTACCCAACAGGAAAAATAAAATGAAAGGAGACGGGCATACTTTCCCCCTTCTGTTAAGGACTCTTTATATATGCACACGACACTTTCATTGATATCCCACGGGTCAGAACTTAGATACACAGACACACCAAGTTGCAAATAAATCTTGATTCTAGGTAGCCATGTCAGGGGGGTAGAGGGTGATGGTCATTATTATATAAAAAGGAGAAAATGGATATTGGCAGAGAACTAGAAAACTTTGTCAGAGGGTGACTCTGAATTTACCCCAGTTCTCAAACCTAAGGCTCCATTTCCCCATGTGTGCATTCTGACTGGCCAACATGAGCCCATGGAACATACCAAATTAACTTTTAAGCAAAAAATGAATATGACTCAAGTTTTATGTGCAAGCACCATGCTGTGATTTAAAACAGTGTGGAAATGACCCCTTGGTTTGGATGAGGTTGCAGTGGGGGTCACTTTGGTGCAGGGTTGGTTTTGTTTAGGATTCAGATGATAATGAAGGATTCCATGGGTAGCATGATGCTGGCCTGAGATGGGAGCAGTCTTTATTGCTGGGGGTGAAGGATGACATCCGTGTGACAATGATACAGACTGTCCTTGGAATCGTCCACACCAGGACCCACTGTCGTGTGCAGCAGCAGCTGAGTGAATTCATTTAGGAAAAGATATAAGGATAGATCTTACTCTCCAATGCCCTTGTCCATCCAGAAAGCCCCAACTCAAACCTGTCGCTCAATATTTGACTTTATTGCCTTTTCTCAATGAGGACTATTTCCTCATCAAAAATACAGAAGGGATGAAATTTTTCTGTCAATCTAAACAAATCCAATCCATGTCACTGTGGTGTTTATTGAAAGTTGTTTATATCCTCATTCTCTTTGACCTACCAACTCCATGTCCTATAGCTAGCCTTGCACACATAAAGTTACTCATTTGTAATAGCAAGTGATTGGGAATGACCTAAGTACTCAGTGGAGAGCTTGTCGGATACCTATAGTGCATTCTCAGAACTGAGTGCTGTGTGCAGTCAAAGGAGACAGCACGTCTACACTGGATGATTGAGAGGGACCATATCCTGAGAGATGCCAGAAAGTTTCAAAAATGCTAATTTGCTCCATTTGTGTAAAAATAGGTGGATAAGACATATGCATATTTTATATTATATGTATGAAATGTCTCTGGAAGGAGAGATCAGACAATGTTAGCACCCAGTTGCCTCCAGAGACAGAAATTCTGCATGACAATGAGACAGGGTAGAAGGGAGATTCTCGGCTCTGCCATTGTATACCTTCTAGATCTTGAACATAAAAGCAAATATATTTATTTTTCTCCTTTAGGAACATATTCTTTTCTCGATTCTGCCTTTATGAAGAAGCTGATCTTCAAAACGTCCTATGCCCCACCCTTGCTGCCCTACTAATGCTATGGACCTTTCTGTCAAGAAAGTATCTGACACTTGCAGTGATTGTAAACCATCAATAAGACAAGTGGGAACAGACCATCCATCAAACCTGCTCCTCATCAGCTGTGTCCTAGCAAACCCTCATCTGAGCATACCCACACATCCGCTTTTGCTTATCCACTGGGTTGTCACAGAGAAAGTGTGTGTGTGTGAGAGAGAGAGATAAAGCTTTGGAGAAGGAAGTTGCTGGTTATTGTAACTGGTTTGAAAAGCAGAAATAAACTTCAGATTTGGTCCATTGCCACGTCTGATGGTGTTGCATTTCTTTTTGTAATAATATCAAAATGCCAGCTGTGGCATTCTTCCCACTTCCAAAGTGGGAAAGAATGGTCAGAGAGAGAAATAAAACCCCAGAAGAGAAGAGGATTTGTGATTGTCTTTCAGGGGCAGAATCATCTGTGGAGTTCAATCCTGTCTAGTTTCTGGTCAGCCTCTCAGGCTACCTTTGGTTGACTGATTTACTTGCTTAATTTTTCATATGCTCTGACTCATTCTGAAACAATACAGGACCAAAAGCAAGTCCTTGGGGTCAGCACATTGGAGAGTTCCCTTTCGTGCCTCTGAGTCCTAGTGATCTGTTCCAGTAAAGATTACATCCTAGAAAACCCTGTGGGACGGCCATACTGTGTCAGATAGGGTCGCTGTGAGTCGGAACCAACACTACAGCGTCTAACAAGTCCGATGCCACTGCTTCATCCCAGGAGGAGTCTGAGGAAGTGCTCAAACAGGGCTCCTATCTACGGAGCCCCTGTTTCTCTCCCATTGCCGTACCTAACACTTGGGTCACCTGCGCCTTGAAGAGACAGCATCATATAGGAGTTAAGAACATAAACCATGGGGTCAGACAGCCTAAGAATAAATCCTAGTTCTCTGTTTACTTGCTATGTTCCCTAGAGCAAGTTACTTGACCTTTTATGCTTCCATTTCCTTCCTGTAGAAGGGTATACTCTGACTGGGTCTTTCTGAAGATTAAAAGTTACCTGATCAATAAAGGTTAGATTGCCAATCATTACTACCTGACTCCCTACACAGATGGTTTAAAAGAAGGGTAACTGAGTAGCTCTAGAAATGTTCTCTCTGAAACTGTCTCTTCGGAGTAGCCCTGGATTATGAAAACCTCTCTCACCTGTCTAATGCCCATAGTGTGACCCTGGAGTGGCACAGCCTCCCCACATCACTCTAAGAGAGGGGCGGCCAGTACACAGGGGTCCTGTCAGTAGATGCCAAGTTTCTCAAAAGCCAGCCATTCGTTTCCAGACTTTCCGCCTGAGGAGTGAAAACATAAAAAAAGTCTTTTTTGTGTACATGGTGAGAAAAAGGGTTAGAAAAAGGGGCAGGGGACATAAGACAAAAAGCTTACGTCTAGGAGAAAAAAAAGAGATACAAGGCACTACAGAGCTGTCCAAAGGAACTCTGTGGCGTAGTGGTTATGAATCAGACTGCTAACCTTAAGGTCGGCAGTTCGAAACTACCAGCTGTTCCGCGGGAGAAAGATGAGGTTTTCTGCTCCCGTAAAGGTTTACAGCCTCGGAACCTGTACAGGGTCGCTATGAGTCGGAACCGACTCTATGGTACTTAACAACAACAGAGCTGTCCATAGTGTTCGCTCCACTTTACACAGGCTGCTAAAGGAAACGGAACCACTAGGTGGCAGCATATGAGCAGATGAACCAAAGAGAACCAATTGCCTCCAGTTTAGGAACCTTTGCACCAATCCCAATCTACAGAGAAGGAAAATGGGCGTTGTTCTGAAGTGTTTAACACTGTAGGCAGAAGCCCTTCCATTCCTCCAGAGGAATCCGCAAGGCCTCACGTCTGGAAGGCCCGGTGGCTAGAGACAGAATCCTATTGTGCCACTGCTCTGTGCCTGAGAAACCACCCAGGAGAGTAAGAGCCGAACTACCTTCACTCCCTACATTGCTCAACACTCTATTAGCATGGCCATTGCCTTCTACATTCAAAACAAAAATCCTTTTAGTGCAATTGGTATGTGCTGTTGAGTCACCTCCGACTCACGGTGACGCTCTTGAGTGCAATGGACACTTCTTTACCTATGTTGTTGTTGTTAAGTACAGTCGAGTCGGCTCTGACTCATAGTGACCCTGAATAGGGTTTCCAAGGAGCAGCTGGTGGGCTTTAACTGTAGACCTGTGGTTGGCAGTCCAGTGCTGATCCTACAGCAGCACACCAGGACTCCTCTTTACCTACGTAGTTGGTGCTTAGTCCCATGGAGTTGGTTTCGACTTATAGTAACCCTGTGTAGGGTTTCCAAGAAGCGGCTGGTAGGTTCTAACTGCCAGCATTGTGGTTAGCAGGCGAGTGCTTCTTATCCTATAGCATCAGATCAGGACTCCTCTTTACATATAGACCAATGAAAACAACCATTTACCAAGCTGCGAAAATCTTTCAGCATGTATGTCCACCTCAGGGCAGGTTGTTGTTGTTAGGTGCCATCGAGTCGGTACTGACTCATAGCGACCCTATTCAAGGCAGGTACCACACTGTAAAAAATATAACATAAAAAATAGAATTGGCCCTAAAAAATAAAAGCAAATACACTGACTGGAAATGTGGCCTGCAACTGTTGTCGCCATCTTGGACACCGTTACATGCAGACAAAGTTGGCAAGGTTGATGTGCTGATGGGATGCAACAGGCAGAAGGGCCTTCACAATTAGAGAAAATGAAGATGTTCGGAAGCAACAGATTCCTTCAGTCTGTCCAAAGAGAAACCTCACCCAGCAAAACTGCCTTCTACTCAATGTCACAGCCACCATTTGCCAAGAGCCCCAGACAGCAACTGCTACTCAGATTATTACTCCTCTGCCTGACTCCGCTAACCAAATCCCCACCTCACTCCTGTGACTAACTGAATAGCTGTAGCGTTAGACCACTTGACTAACTACATTATATATGGGTGGCTTTTCATTAATTGCTCTGGTATATGAAATAGGAAGGGTTAGGGTAGCAGTCGTTTTTTACTTTCATGATTTTATGTGAAAGAAGAAAACAAAGATTCTAAATTTACTAAGAAAATGTACATCTAACTTTTACATGGTAATTTACACAC